ATGTTGACCGAAGTCAACTAAAATCAACTTTTAGGCTAAAAATTATTATTTCATCAATTTTTCACATAAAAGCTTTCCGGAAACATGTCCGGACTGCGCACACAAATCAAGGAGGAATAAAATGAGGTTTTGAATGCCCCGGAACACGGAATCGAGTTCTAAAACATAAGATGACCCTTTGGGTCATCACATGCTCGACCTCCAGACCTAATTCCTATCAAGGGACACGTCCTCGAAACTCTGCAATCGTGACATGTCCTGCCTGATCACCTCTCCCCAATACTTCTTAGGCTGCCCTCTTCCTCTTTTCGTACCCACCAAAGCCAACCGCTCACACTTCCTCACCGGAACATCAAGACTTCTCCTCCTTACGTGCCCGAATAATCTGAGCCTCGCTTAACAAGAAAAGTGCTAATTTACATGGGGATTTTACCTGGGGATTTTCATGGGAAACATTATAATTATTAAATTTAAAATATATTTGCTGCGATAAATATTTTCCTAGGACAATCCGTAGGTAACTTTGGCACCATTATGCGCCAAAATATTACCTGAGAAATTACCGCGAAAATAAATCGGAAGTACCTTTCCATAGGAAAATCCGTAGGTAAGCAAATAAAGAAAATGGAAAAAAAAAGCCTATTTTAATCCGAAGTAAAATCCCTAGATAACTCTGCATGCGACTTTACTTGGGGATATTTTCTTGGGAATTTATCTGGGGATATTTTCTTGGGAATTTATCTGGGGATTTGCTTAATTGGGAAATTACCTGGGGGATATTATTGCTGCGGATTTAGCTGGAGAATTTTTCTTGGAGATTTAGCTGGGGATTATCTTAACTGGGGAATTACCTGGGGATATTAGTGCTACAAATTTAGTTAGGGATATTTTCTTGGGGATTTACCTGTGAATTTGTGTGGTTTTAACAAAATTTGTTTCTTTAAAATTTACTTGAGTATTTCATTATACGATTTTGATTGGGTATTTTGTTCTTAGGATTTAGATAGAATTCTTTTATTGTTATATAATATTTGAGAATTTACATGAGTATTTTATAACTACATATCTAAGTTTAAAATTCTTTAAAAAAATTTTAAAATATTATTTGAATTTATAAGAAGATGTTTCTTTTTAATTTAAATATTATATTTTTCTGAAAGTTACAAAACTTGATTTTTTTGGTGCAAAGGATAACATTCTATTAAAACATATCACTAATAGTACAAGTAGTTGTGGTCAACCTATTTAAAGTCCTAGAGGGCAACCTCGCGATGGGTCGTAACAAAAAGGGGCATTCGGGGGAAAACTACTTCTAATAGGGCCTATATTAGTAATATTACATAGAGGGTGTACAAGACGTGTTTGCAAACGGTCTGAAGGTGGAAGAGTTGGCAGAGCCACTCTTCAAACAAAAAGCTTGCCTATGCGAGCATCGGAATTAATTTCTATTATAATTATCTATTTATGTGTAGGTAAATGTAAATTGTTGATCCTATAGAAAATTTAGTGATGTATATATGTTTGGATTGGCATTATCTGTCATTAAGCATAACATAGTCGGTTATTACTTTTTTTCAGCAAATTCAATAACAAAATGATTATCACAAAATAAATTATTTTAAGAATTAAAAATTTAATATGCTTGATATAAAGAACATAATAAAGCTAAGATACGACTATATTTGACATATTTCAACTAATATCATCAAAAAAATATACTAAATATAACTAAACAATTGACAATATTTAAGTTTAATTTCTAAGTAGAGAAAAATTACGTTACATTTATAAAAATGTAACTAAGTTTTATTAACCTTCTATCTTATGTATGTCACTTTTTCACATTTTGATTAGAAAAAAGTCAATTATAGCATATATAAAATGATATAGTTTGAGATTGTTAGTATTGAAACTTAATATGGAATAATCTTATAATTCTACTTTCTAACATTATTTCTTGATCAAATCCTACCATTATTAATAAAATAACTTAATCATATGTATTTTATTAGCATTAGTGAAATAATTCTTACTAATTATCATGTACAATGTATTTAATTCTTGTTAATTAGTGTATTTTTTATAAAGAAAAAAATTAATATGTTGAGAAATTTAAATGAAAATTTAAAAAATAACTAAGGATAACTTAAATTTAAAAGTAATATAAATTTAATTTGAGTTATAAAGTCTGACTGATTTGTATATATTACTTTTGGCTAATAATGAAAGTTATAATTACCAAAAAAAAAAGAGTGTTTTATTTGATTTACAGAATCCTTGAATAATGCATCCTTTAAAAAAATAAATAGAAAAAGAGGTAAGCATTAGTAAGTAAATAGTACTACATTGGAAATTAGTAGTTGGGATATTCTTGTCCCACAACGGCCAAGAGTCGTAAATATTTGCACTTTATAAATGAAACCTCTAGAAAAGACCGTACAGCTACGACGCTAATACTGTTACGAATAAAAATAATAAAATAATATAATTGGTGCTATAGTGTATAAAAAATACAGCAATTCTAATTTTTCGTCTAAAAATTTCGACATTGGGAATTTTCGTGGGGATGTACTTGCAGCTATTTCCTAGCAAACTCCGCAAGAAAACTTTTTACGTTTCATTTATTTTTTACCAGGATTTCACGTGAATATCTGAAATTTCCTATGGAAAAATTTGCAGGTAATTTACATGCGAATTTAAAACCCTAGGTATTTTCATGCGGATTCAAAATTCCCAAGTACATTACTTGGGGATTTTTATAATCCGCAGGTAATAATTACCTACGAAGGTTTTTTCATCGAAATTTTTTCGGAAGGAAAATCCGCAGAAAACAAAGTTTCCTGCGGATTTTCTTATATAATCTCCACCAAAATTCCCATGTAATACATGATTTTCTTGTAATGTAGCTTCCCGCTTCTTGTCATCCACAGGGGCCACGCCCACCTTCTCTCGAATATCTTCATTCCTAATCTTATCCATCCTAGTGTGCCCGCACATCCTCATCTCAGCTACCTTCATCTTCTGGATATGAGAGTTCTTACCCGGCCAACAATCTGCCCCATACAACATGGCCGGTCTAACCACCGCTCTATAAAACTACCTTTGAGTATCAGTGGCACTTTCTTGTCACACAAGACTCCAGATGCTAGCCTCCATTTCATCCATCCCACCCCTATACGGTGAGTGACGTCCTCGTCGATCTCTCCGTCCCCCTGTATAACTGACCCAAGGTACTTGAAACTACCTCTCTTGGGGATGACCTGTGATCCAAGCCTCACGTCCATGCCTACTTCCCTCGACTCAGCGCTGAACTTGCAGGTACTCTGTCTTAGTCTTGCTCAACTTGAAACCCTTAGACTCGAGGGCCTGTCTCCAAACCTCCAACCTCTCGTTACACCGCCTCACGTCTCATCAATCAGAACAAGACGCGCAAAAATCAGAAATAGCATGATTTACAACTGGTAATTGAAAAATAGTCACAATTTTAAAAGTAATCGAAATTTAGTCATTTTTTCATGTACAAAGTATGTACAAAAACATCCTTAATAATCCAGAAAAATTTCAGCATTATATGCTGGAGTTCGAATTTTTTATATATGAGATTCCTACATAATGTGCTGGAATATCATCATGTGGTGAAGTTCCAATATAATATGTTCGCATGAGCTTCAAAATCCAGCATATTATGCTGGAACTTTTCATGTTTCAGCTAGGGTATTTTTGTCCAGATTTTATCTCCACAAAAATAATGACTATATTTCAATGACTTTGCAAACGCTGGCTATTTTTCGATTATCAACTCAAAAACTGGCCAGCCCATGCTATTTTTACGAATAAGGTCGAATCAAGTCTTTTTAGTCCAAACTAGACTTAGGCCATTTCGTCCTTGTTTAAACCCAAACTCAAGAGTTTGTAAATAAAGAAGGGTAAGTTACAGATTTGGTTGGTCCGCCAAAAATAATTACATTCGCGAGCTAAATAACATATTTTTTTAGTCTGTCCTAGAAGGACTATCATACTTTTTTATTTACAAATTATTTAACGTTAAATTTTTTTACTTTACCCTGAGATTATTTATAGCCCCACAAATATTTATGACCTGTATTAAATCATAAATTTTAAAAGTCTTTATTTTTTTCTTAAACTTCGTGTCGAGCCAAATACCACCCACATAAATTAAGGCGGAGAAAGTAATATTTAAAAAATGAAAGTTCGCAGGTTAAGTGGATGCAGATAACGTTGGACTGCAGTAGTTTACATATCTATGTATTGGTAAAATTGTTTCAGGAGAAATAGCTGCTCTCTAAGATTGTCCGAAAATATTATTTATATACTTTTTTTTTGGCAATTAACTAACTTTTTATTAATTATCCATTTACTGGATACGCAGCTTAAAGTAAATTTTCTATTAACAATCAAAATCATATGAAATATCTAACAAACAACTAATAGTGGCAATCAGCTAGCAAATAATCAATTTGCATTAAATAAATAACTTAAAATTGGGTCAGTATCCAAGTTGGAAGCTTTTTTATTCCCAAATATTAAAAAGTTTTACTACCATCCTATCTTCTTATTATGCTGGGGACATCCTCTATTCTCTTTTGAGTAGGTTCATATATATACGACAAATAATCAAAAGCTGAAATTATTACACCGGTTTCTTATTGGACTGGTTGAGTCATCATTGATTAATATAATCAAAGTTTTGGGAAATGATTTAGCTTATACAAACTAAAACTTAAAAAAATAAATTATTTTCGTGTATATGTAATTTAACATGTTAAAGCAAATTATCTATCTTATTCTTAAGATTATCTTATAGTGTAAAATTATATTTACTCTATCATTATATAGCAGTTAAACTTGAGAAAAAAGGGAAGGCCGAGTCCGAGGCGGACCTATGTATGAAGTAGAGGGTTATCGGACCCCGTTAACTTCAACAAAATTTTTGGATGTATATGTTGAAAACGGTCTGAAAACGATTATATATATATATATATATTGCTTGGAACCTTAAGATAAAAAGTGTGATGGGAGTGCTAGTTTGAGCCGTCCGCTTATGTGCCCGACACCTGGATCTGCCTCTGGGGCGAGTAATATTGTTTATATAAAGCTCATCGTCTGACCCATTGAAAGAAACCAAGAGAATCCATGGCGACTTTTTTCCAAGAAATTAAGAACAAATTTCTGGATCTGATTAAATTCGTTATTACCTGCGGTAAAGGTATTACTTCTTCTTGTCTACTAATTACTTTTTTTTCTTCTTTTTCATCTTCATCTACTGTCTCGAACACACTTGCATACATCTTTGTCTTTAGTAAAGAATGAACCTTTTATCATGAAATTATTCTCCAGGAAATGATGAGCATGAAAAACCAAAGTTAGATAATGAGGAGGTAACTTTCTTTTCGAATTTTGAGTATTCTTTTTTTTTAAATCTCTGTCAGTTAATTATATGTAGCTATATATATGTATTTGGTAATGTCATTGCTAGTCAAGGGCAGATCTAGAAGGTTGGTTACAGATTCATATGAACCTACAAGCTTAATTTTGTCTATATATATATATATATATATATATATATATATTATTATTATTATTATTATTATTATTATTATTATTATTATTATTGTAGTAGTAATTTTAACTTGAGCTTCCGTAGAAATCCATAAATTTTAAAATGAATTCATCTCTGATGCTAGTAGCACAAGGTTTCCTGAAGTTCACTAGAGAGTAAGTTTTTAGCCTACTATCTTCCCGTTTCCACTTAATGTTCACGAAAATATTCCAAACCTTCAAAAAAATTTAAAAAAAAAAGAAGGGATAGGAAAAGAGGACTGAAATTAGATTTGGTTTGCATATTTATGATTTAAGAATATATTGATTATTTTTCAAAAATATAACAGGGAAGAGATGAAGAACAGAAAGGAGCTGTATTTAGGCCAGAACAAAGATCAAGAGGTCCAAG